GGGGGGGGGGGGGGGGGGGGGGACATGATTTCTCTGACTTCTTTGGCCCTTTCTTTCCCTACCCCACCCACCCATCCCTATCCCTATCCCTCTCTCTCTCTGCGTGTGGTGTGTACCTTACCTTGATATAGGCATTGAGGTTGTCATTGTTGGGTGCGTCCATGACCATGAACCTGAGCCTCCGGTGCTCAATCTCGGTGGGCCGGTTGATAATTTGCGTCATCCTTGTCAATCAGCAGCAGAGTGGCCCTCGGCGACAGACCAACAGGCGACAGGCAGCGGGGGCAGGGGCGAGCGCCAGACACTCGAGGCAGTTGGTAGGGGTCGAACCAGCAGGTGGTCCTGCTCTGGTGGTCAGCAGAGGAGGGGGAGGATGGTGAGGCTTGGTCGAAAGATGATGTTGATTCAGCTGCAGCAAATGCGCCACCTAGGGATGGCGCAGAGGCTTTCTGCATCCACGTAAAGACAACGCCCTCTCGGCCACGGCAGCTGCAGCGGGGAGATGCCCGTCGTCCACACGCGCCACGACGGGTGGACGCAGGACGGTCGTCACAGTGGAGGGGTGGAGAGGGGCCTGGGTGGGAAAGACTGTCCCGAGCTGAGACAGGTGACCCTCGCGTCTGGCGACACGCTATCTTGGCGACACAAAAGCTGACAGCACCGCTGACGCAAACGGGATGGTGAGTTGGGTGGACGACACACGGACTCGTGGGAGGACGAAGGCGGCCAAACGAGGTGTCCGCCGGGGGGGTGCACAGATAGTCAGTCGAGCTGCTCCATGCTCAGCAGCAGCCTCCGATAACCACCAAACAACGCCTTCTTCGCTCCCTTTTCGCTCAGTTACAGCTTGCAATGCGAGCTATTGACAAAAGAAAGCAGGAGCTCCGTTGGATAATTAGGGCCCTCTGCCTGACCTCTGCCATCATATCTCTTCGACCAAAGCCGTTTTTCGTCCAGACCCCTCCCGGAAGAAGAGGAGTGCTGAATGCTCAGCCGAGGCTAAGGAACGGCCGGGCAGCATCGACTCCTCCTGCAGCAGCACCGCACACAGCAGCAACAGCGGCAGCCACGGCAGCAGCAGCGGCGTCACTCATCAGCCATCCGGCCCTCGACTTGGGCGTTGATCTCTCCTCGCCGAGCAGCCTGACGATGGCGTGGGTGGCGGGTTCGCCCGAGTTATGGATGTTTGTGTGTCTGGCGGCGGGCATGGCGGTGGTGCAGCTCATACAGATCGGCAGGAATGGGTGGATGCGGGAGAAGACAGACCACGAACGAGACCCCAAGTTCCCCAGGTCAGCTGACTAATGCGCTTGTCGACCAGATCAGCTGACTGTCTTTTCTGCCATGTGTGTGTATGTGTGTGTATGTGTGTGTGTGTGTGTGTGTGTGTGTGTGCATCAGGTTTCAGGTCAATTTTCTGCTGGTGTATCTGCTGGCGATGTTTGCCGACTGGCTGCAGGGTCCGTATGTGTACGTGCTGTACGAGCGCATGGGCTACGACATGCGCATGATCGGATACCTCTTCGTCGTCGGATTCGCATCCTCGGCACTTGCCGGCATGGCCGTCGGGGACCTGGCCGACAGGTGGGATGTGGGGGCAACACGCTCACAGCCACACACAGCCACACACACACACAGACAGACACAGACACAGACAGACACAGCCACAGCCACAGCCATGGGCATGGACGGTTATGTGTTGTGTGTGATAGGTATGGTCGCAAGGCGTGGTGTCTGCTGTACTCGCTGTTTTACATCCTGGCGTGTCTCATGTACAACATCAACAGCCTCCCGCTCCTCTTCTTCGGCCGCTTCTGCGCAGGGGTCGCCACCTCCATCCTCTTCACCACCTTCGACGCTTGGATGGTCTGTGAACACAAGAAACGGTACGTACGCTGAGCCGCGCTCTTCCTGCTCCACATGATGGGAGGACATGTGCCCATCTGTGCAATCTGTGCGTGACGTTGGCTGGCCATTCTGTCTTAGGCATTTTGAGATGCCGCTGCTGAACGAGACCTACGCGCGCGCCACCTTCGGCAACGGACTCGTGGCCATCATCGCAGGAGTGTGCGCAAGCGCAGTCGCAAACACGTGAGTAATTATGGAGCACGCGCACACACAACACTCAGGCGCACCCGCACCCATACCCACAGCCGTTCATTGCCAATCCTCTCCGTCTGGCTGCCTTGTCAGTGTGGGCCCGGTCGGTCCGTTCGATGCGTCCATAGCTGTGCTGATAGTGCTGGCGCTGGTGGTGGCCTTCACGTGGACCGAAAACTACGGCCGGGAGGCAGTTGAGGACACTGGCGATAAGGCCAAGGAGGGCGAGGATAAGAAGGGCGGTGCGGCTGCTGATGCGGTGTCGACCGACACGGGCCTGGCGTACGTCTTCCGCACATTCAGGACACACCCGGAGGTCTGGTGAGCGCTGACAGGGCGGGGGAGGGCCGTTCGTGTGCCGTCGAGCTATCTCTGAGAATGTGTGTGTGTGCGTGTGCGTTGACAGGTGGGTGGGTATGGTTCAGTCGTTCTTCGAGGCGGCCATGTATTCCTTTGTCTTTGTGTGGACACCAGCGCTGCCCAGGACGGTGAGCTCATCAACGGCCAACCGACCGATCGGCGTCCTTGCGCAGTTGCCGTCTGGTTGTGTCAGATTGACCAGGGTATAGTCTTCTCCAGCTTCATGGTGGCCGTCATGCTCGGCAGCAACGTCTTCGTGTTCCTCGAAAAGGCCGGGTGCGCAGCAAGGCCGCACACAAACAAAACACACATGTTTGTCCCCATATTTGGTTGCTTGCCTTGCAGGCTTCAGCTGAGCCTGTCGGTACTGCTGTATGTGGTGGTGGGCGCGGTGTCCATGCTCTGTGCGGCACTGGCTCTCTACCTCAACGCGGCCTCACCATGGCGGCTGCTGGCCTTCCTACTGTTCGAGCTGTGCTGCGGGGTCCATTTCTCGGCCTTCTACTCACTAAGGTGGGCGTCAGCAGGCGCATTGTGACGATTTCGCCCATGTGTGTGTTGCGGTGGGTGGCATCAGGGCCCGCGTGTTGCCCGAGGAGGGCCGTGCGACCATCCTCAACCTCTATCGCGTCCCGCTCAACCTGATCGTAATGGGCGTGTGCACACAGGTGGCCTACAGCCCAACCAACCAACCACACACACACACACACACACACACACGTGGAGCAATTCTTCTTGTGTGTGTGTGTGCAGGCGGCCTCGTTCCCACTTGAGGGTGTGTTCCTCTTTGCGGCCTTCCTGCTGCTGTGTGGGGCGGTGTTCCAGTGTCTGGTGCATCAGCGGGTGTCCAAAGACGGATACACCTCGCCCAGCTCCTCTACCAGCCAGAGCGCCATCGGCAGGGACACACCACAGCAAGAAGACAAAGAAGGTCAGTCAGCTGAGGCGGTGGATGGAGCAGGCTGGCCAGAACGAGACACCATGTTTGTGCGTGCGTGTGTTGTTCAGATGAGAAGGCTCGGCTGCTAGCTCGGCAAAGTGGGGGTGACGAGGCCACACGCGTCAACAGCCGGACAGAGTAGCGGGCCAGCCTATCAGACAGAAGGCGGGGCGGGGCCCTCACTGCCAATGCGACGCTCTGCTGGTGGTGGTGTGGAGGACACGTGGGTTGGTGTACATAAATAGGCCAGGAGGAGCTTAGCTTGGTCGGTCGGTCGGTCGGTCGGTCTGTCTGAGTTTGCAAGCCACGCCGCTGATGTGCGTGCAGACCAGACTGTCCCTGGGTGTGTATGGGCACGATGGATGCCATCGTGCAGTGCATGTGTGGGTGGATGGATGGATATATATATCTGGACGGCAGCTTGCTTATGTGTGTGTCCGAGGACTGACTTGTGTGATGTCAACCTGTCTATTCCACGCACGAGTGAGGAGGTCACAGCCATGTAAGTCGCTCAGCGTCACTCAACCCGCTGCCTCTTGCCCCCTCCCTCCTTCTCGCCCTCACTCGGCCCATCTGCACGCCTCCTGTGCTGCGACACACTCCCACACTCAGCCGTCTGCGCCTGCAACACAGAAAGGACGACGGCACTTGGATGGAACACGCCTTTTTGTGTGTGTCATGTCAGTCAGCTTGCCTGGCCGTCCCCTGCCCCCTGCTGCAGTTGTTTGTCGTCCCCGTCTTGTGTGGCCTTGGGTGGGCCGGATGACTCCCCTTCGTCAACCTGCACGCGTCACACACACATCCACACACGGAGTGAGCTGCCAGATGGTGTGCCCCGAGCTCACTGACAGATGACGCTGCCGGGACGGGAGAGGGCGTCGGCAGCAGGGCGTCTGAAAGAATGAGTCAACGACAACAGATGAACACACACATGGGTCGTTGCTTCATCGGATTCAGCTACCTTTAGCGGGCTGCTGCTGCTGTGCTGCAGGGTTGTTCTTGACGTCGATATACTTGGCAGCCGGCAGGGTGTAGAGCTTGAGGATGGTCCTGGCCGCCATCTCCAGCTGACGCCAGTCCACCTCTAGCAACTCGTACCAACGCGACTCGCGGGGAAGAGCCACAGACAAGTCGCAGCAAGCCAGGTAGACGCTGCACAACACACCACACCACAGCCAGACACACAGGTGTTTGGTTTGAGAAGGTGGTGTGGATGGGCGGTTTTGTTAACCTGGCTGCTGCGATGACTTCTGGCTGCACCCTGCAGCAGAGGTTGGTGCGCAAGCTGTCGTTGAGATACCCCCATGTGCGGGTGGCGACCTCATGGTGACGAGGCAGACCTGAGATACAGACAGACAGACAGACAGCAGAAGTAGGGTGAGTGCCACTTGCAGATCTTGGACTCGAGCCCCCCGTATCTACCTTTGATCATGTTGATGTACTGCAGTGCCAGCGTGTGTGGGTGCCGCAGCACCCGCTCCATCATGAACCCCAGCTCACGCAGCAGATACCGCTCGATACGCAACACGTCACTCTCCATCTTACGACACACCTGTCGTACACACATTCACAGCACGACTCTCAGCAGGTGTGTGTCTGGTTGCCCACTGCTCCGCGGCTGACCTGTGAGCTGGGGTCAAGCGGTGGAATGCCTTGTGCGTTGACGTCGGGCTGCTCCTCCTTCTGCTGCAGATGGTAGAACACTGTGATGATGTCCTGCACACGCCGGCAGTCCTCCTCCATCTTCCCAGCCAACACCACACACGCCGCCGCTGTCCGCTGCACACACACGCATCCAGCCACCCACCACCCCATCAATCATGGCTTATGTGATCAGACGCATGAACGGACGGTTGGTTCACTCTGACCCGGACGTCGAAGGCAGCGAATGATTTGCGGTAGTAGAACCGGTGCAGGATGACCTGGGCGCTGGCCTTGGTCACGGCCTGCAGCTTCAGCAGCGTGCCGGCCTTCTGGATCAGCTCACACCCATACACGCGCAGCTGAGTCTCCGTCGACTCATCTATCCCGTGCTCGCGGGAGGGAGGACTCCATAGTGCGTCGTCGGGGACCAGACGAATCATCTTCCGCGCGTCCTTGGTTTGGTTTGGTTAGTGTGTTTAACGAGACTCGTGTCTGTAACCCCGGAGGGATCCTGTTGTCTCACGCACTAAACTAGCAGCATGTACATGCAAAGCATGCACACGGCCTGTCTACCCCTCCCTGCACTGGCACCGGCGGACAAACAGATGGCAGCAGAGAGCACTGGCTGCCTTGTAGAACGTTGACAAACACCGATTCCGGCTACATACACAAGAACGGGCGCTGTCGCCCAGCAAGAGCCATGGCAAGTGTACAGAAGCCAGAAGGGGGAAGTGGAAAAATGAGCGCTCTCTGAGCCACCAAAGCAACGATCAGCCAATCACATGAATACACCACCATATACACACGGGACCCATACGGAAGGAAGACAGGAAGACAGCAGAGGGAGAGAGAAGGAAATAGCCAGGCAGGCCATGGGGCCCTGCAACATATGATAGACGATACCTAAGGTGCACTCCATCCCTTCACACAGCACTGAGTATGATGCCACAGTGGCGCCTGTCTACTTGTACGGTAGTGAGCTGTGGGCGGGCACTAACTGTGATGCAGTACGGTGTGATCTAAGTCGATAGGCA